GTCGGTGTTCCAGTTCATCCCAAAGGTGTTCAGTGGGGTTGAGGTCAGGGCTCTGTGCAGGACACTCGAGTTCTTCCACTCCAACCTTCACACACCATGTCTTCATGGAGCTCGCTTTGTGCACAGGGGCATTGTCATGCTGGAACAGGTTTGAGCCTCTTAGTTCCAGTGAAGGGAAATTGTAAAGCTACAGCACACAGAGACATTCTATACACTTGTGAGCTCCAGACTTTGTAGAAACAGTTTGGAGAAGAACCACATATGGGTGTGATGGTCAGGGGAGCACATACTTTTGTAAATTTAGATAGATAATACTGAAAAGACACTTTCCTTAATAATGTATCAAACATAATATTATTCGACAACTATTTTATTGTAACAAATCATTAGTTTTTCGGGCTTTTTTTCCAGTTGAATAGTCTCATTATCTGAAAAGGAAACGAAAGTCAAACAAATGAGTGCAGTTTTTAAACCTTTCAGGAAACGAAAGCGAAAAAGTAAAAAAAAAACAAAAAAACAAAACCTTTTTGGTCCTTCTGGCTTTCCGGAAGCGAGTCACGTGGTCTAGAAAAGTTATAAATAGAGGTGCAGCGCGAGCCGTCTGGGCTCGAGCGCAGATGAGAGTGACAGTATGGCGTCCACCAGCCGGTTAGTACATTTTTAAACATTCTTTTATGCCAGGTTTCTTACTAATAGTTTGTTTTTCCGTTATATCTGATATTATTAGGAAAAATACAGACATTTACCTCTGTCTTTGTGATGATTATGAGAATCAGTGGTGCTTCTGTTTGGAATAAAAGATGTAGGATGTCGTGGCGAACAACAGGAATGGCGCCGTGTCCCAAATGGCTTCCTTTGGCACTATCCTAGTGCACTATGTAGGGCGCGTCGTAATGGCGCGTGCAGCCTATCTAGTGCACTCGCGGCAAACAGCGGAGCCGTTTGGGACTCAGCCATCGTCTCGGTTTGTACTACTCTAATGGTAGTTTTTTTTTAAATATATATATTTTTAAAAAATAGGAAAATAGTATAGTGTAGAATGAATTCAGAGGCAACTGTATTTACAATAAAATCCGACTAAAAAAAAAACGAATAAAACGATAAAACCTAGCTAACCAACTTATAAATATTACGCAAGGATGTGTTTAAAAAAAAAAAAAAAAAAAAAGCTAAG